AGTCGATTACTGTAGCAAATACAACTTTGCTTAATCGACAATCTCCACACATAATGTGAGACAAAAAAAATGTCTGGCTTTCCTTGAAATTCACATCTGTCCTGAGAGCCAAAGACACTAGAGGCAATCTAGCATATTGGTTAACTATTCGAGATTAAACGCCGCATTGTTATGGTTCGAGTCCCGCAGGGGGCCCTAACTAACCGAGACTAACTCAGGCAAAGTCATAGCTGCCGGCCATTCCTGCTTAGATGGGGAAAACAAGGTTATGTGAAATTGAATGGAAATTTAAGGCCTACTTAACTGATTGTGGGAAAATTCATCGATCAGCTTTTCATCCTCTTATTCGAGACTATAAGTACAAGAGTTCCAGTAATCTAAGTTCACACAAGTTGGTGAAGTACTGATAGTTGAATTTTTCAACAAGTGAAATGTATTGCTATCATACAGCCTGTTCATTTCATTGTGGGAAGTCGTATTTAAGGCGAGGTCACCGAAATTCACTTGCGACATGCACTACTTACTTGCAAATAGAAGTAAATTAAAGTGAATAAGCTTGAGATTAATATCAGCTTTAGTTTGAATGCCGCCCTAGAGGCATATATCCATGATCTGTACCTTCTTTGCGGAGAAAAAACTACGTTCATTTGGTGCACAGGACACTTTGAAATATCCATACGTCAATTTTTGGAAAAGGAAGCCTGGACATTGGTTTAATTCGTGGCTGAACAGATCTTTTCTTATGGCATATAGGCACAACACCCACAGATCTGTATCACTATGGAACGTACGGTTTTGTGAGTCTCAGTTAAAGTGGATAAGACGAGACACACAAGCTCAGCCAGGCGGGACTCGAGCTCATGGCCCTTCATTTGGTCCCTGCTTGACGAGAGCATAACCGTGAATAAATGGGATATTCTGTCGGAAGACTTGTGTGCTTGTCGCCTGAAGAGGTGTGAGACTCGCGTCGAGTTGGGGTTAAATCTTTTCTGTCGGGTGGTAAAGAAGAGTTCGACAGTCATTGCTCGTCTCATCTTCCATTCTAGTGGCCGCTAAAATGACTTATTGGCCGACGTCGGTAGGACGCCGCTGAAGCTCTTTTGGAATGTAAAAGTGCCAAAATTAGTCAAAAAAATGTCAAAAGAAGGATGCACAAAGGTTGTTTTGCCAATTTCTTACGAGGCTGCAGGAAATCTGGAAGACTCACTTGTCACGCGAAAATCACTCTCCGGCCTGAAACGGTAGCCTGTGTTGGCGCTGTAGATCTGCGTGCTCGAGAGTAGCTGAGCCTTGAGTTGTTCTTCAGAAATGTCGCGGTATTTGAAGCCAGTTGCAAACTCGAGTATCAGTTTCGAGTCGACTTTTTCACCGCTGTCCTTCACGAAGCCCTCGAATCTGCAGCTTCTGAAGCCCGTTTGAAGCCCCTTGAAGACCCCGGTTTGTATCAAATTGCTTGCCTAGAGGGCGCAGGAAAGATGGCAATTATGAAAAGGACTTGTAGCAATACCTAAAGACAAGTCTGGTTTTCCTGTTCACATACACTCTCTTGCCTCCTTTAAGCCAAAGAATGGTGAAAAAAGATATCAGACAATGAGTCTCTTGTCAATCATACACTGAATAGTCTTTGAGACAGTCAGTATACCCTGAATCAAAACATTAGTCACTTTATATTCGAGAATATCGGTAGATATTTATTAGGATTTCCTGTCGCTGTAAGTCGTAGAAGATGATGAAAGAGGGATAAAAAATAAATATATAGGCCAAACGATACCATTAAATTTCATTTGCACTTGCATTCTAAGGGATTTTATCATCCAGGATGGACTGCAGTTTCATTGTGACTTGTAGAGTCACGTCTTGTCATGTGCTTTTTAGTGGAACCTTAATATGCCAGCCTAAACAAGGGCAAAAATGGGGTACATCTGGTTGGCATGGCCGTACTTCAGATCAGAAAAAATAACGGTTCGGGGTCGGATAAATTCAGCATATTTTTCCTTCTTTGGATTTCAGGATTAATCTAGCCCCGCCCTTCTCTGGCGAGGAGTAAATAGGTTCCATTTATTGAAAGACGAAAGAACGGATTAATGTCATGGACACGAAGAAAGGTTTGATTGTCTATCTAACTTCCATTTTGAGTGAAAGTGTGTGATACAGAGACTCAAAGATGGGTCCAACCGGGATTTCTCTCGGCCAGCCGTCAAATGGCTCCAACAGATCCGCTAATATGCATTTTACCCATTACAACTGTCCTCAAAACAATCTCCCGATTAGTCCACAGGACGCCATTTAAGTCCACTTACCCTTCCATCCTAAAAGGTTTTCTCATCCAGAAGGAACTACAGTTTCATCATCGTCCATGTCGTCATCTTGGCCGTCATCATTATCATAATCATCGGCATCAGCATCATCCTCGTTATCATTCATACATTCATACACTTACGCACATACGAACACAACGAGCCAATTTCTTCATTCCTGTCCCTCGCCACGGTTTTAGTGGTAGAAAGTTTACCTCTTCACCTGATCGTGTATGTTTCGAATCGCAACGGGGATCTGATGAGACGATGAAACGTACCAAAACTGTGAAAGAGTCTCGAGTCGAGGCCAACCCTTTAAGATGCATAGTAAAGTTGTAAGTTATTGAAAATACCAGAAGAGATTCGTAGGTCGATCTGACCAGAAGAGGACGGATGAATCGCGTTGTTCTGCATCCGCTTGGCTTGGATACGACCTTCATGTTGACGCAGTCCACGAACACCTCCTCCCTCGTTTCGGGTGAAAATGGGCGGAGGTTTCGTCCATCAAATGATGGACATCATCAGGGCTGGGTCTCATTCCAGGAAAAGTGTCACTTTAATACGAGGGCAAGAGGATTATCCGGCTCTATCCTACCTCTTCTATAGACTCAATTGGGCGAAAGAAAATTAAAAATTTAGATACATTTAGACTGGTTTGGCTAATTATCATTCATAATGGTCCTGCTACTTTTGCTCAAGTGTGTGCCTGTGTGTTAGCGTCTATGCGCAGTACCGGTCCTTAATCAGAGTCATCAAAAAGCATTTTTATGTTCCCCCAATCTTTGTCGAATAGGTCGACATGTCTCACCAACATCACATTGACGACATGAGCAAACAATC